TATATATATATATATATATATATATATATATATACACACACACGCATATATATATACATATATACACATACACACAATCTAAATCCATTATAATAAGGTTGTCTGCTTTATGCATGTTATTATTCTGTGTTCTTTCGTGCAATATTTAATTTAGTTAAATAAAAACTATTTAGTGCTATAGAACCAATTAGTATAAAAAAGTAAGGTTAAGTTTCATCACTAGTTGACAGCAAAGAAAAAGAAGACCCAGGTAAGTACTATATATCTTGTTTTTCATGTGTATTCTTTATTCATTATTATGAAAGTAACTAAAATGTAAAAATTATAAACTTTGTAGATTAGGTAAAATATAGAATAATAATAATAATAACAATTTTCCTTGAGAAAGCAAATAGCCAATGCATTATGTAATTTAATAGAGTAATGTGAGCTACATGTGTGACAAGTGATTTACGACTTAGATGGTATAAATATCAGTATGCATTATGTAATTTAATAGAGTAATGTGAGCTACATGTGTGCCAAGGGATTTACAACTTGTATGGTATGAATATTAGCTAGACACAGTTCAAAGGGCAATAAAATTTAAGTATGAACAGATATATACTGTTACAAGTCTAAAGCTATTTAAAATAAACAAATGTAGTTTCATGTTATAATTTTAAGTCATTCTAGGAAAAAAAAATGGGTAATTAAATAAATTAGTAGATTTATGTCAATATTTTTTGTGGTTAAGAGGTTGGTAAAATTGACCAGCTTTATATTAGGGTAAAGAAACTAACAGATGAAATATATAAAGTTTTTCTGCAAAAAAAAAGTTTGATATTTATTTTTGAGGCTCTAGAGATTATGCAAATTAAATTTGATAATCACTGCATTCAGAGCAGTCAATACTTTGAGTGAGTTTGACTCCATATATTCATGGAGATATTTTTTGTAAAAATGGTTAATTAAAGAAGCCTATTTTTGGTGTACAAAAGACTTGAAATGCTTACTGATAGTCTGCAAAATTTTGCGAAGATACACAAAACATATTAGATATTATAGATACACAAAACACAGACATTATAATATCACTAATCTCATGGTTACCTGGTGGTTAAGTACAAGGTGCAATGCACCTAGCCCATATGGAAAGAGTTAACCCTTATGCATACAGGAGGGTCATAGTGCATGTGTCATGACTTTTTACAGAGTCACAGATTAAAAATTCAATTAAACAAATGATATCATTGTATATCAAAATGCTTGGCATCAAAACATAATGTTTATAATTCAAATGTTTGTATTATCTGATTTTAAAGTTCTTTATTTCAAAGGAAATATTTCAATAACTTCTCAATCTTCTCATCTAAGTGTCACAAGATACATCTGTGCTCTTAACTGTCCATTTTAAATTTTCTTTTTACCCTTATATGATTTTTTGAGTGGCCAACTAATTAGAAACATGTATGATAGATGTTTAAAAGCCATAATATAAATTTTTGAGATATAAAAAAGAATATCAAACCCACATATCACACTCCTTCCAGGTCATTCTGTATTTCAAGAAATGACAATAATTTTCTTGGACATTGCTATTGGATTGTTTATAACCAACAGAAAGAGCAACTTTTTCTTTACAAGATTCCTTGGATGGTTATTTTGTTTTGCTGCCCATAAGTAGACATAAGCTTTATTTTCATTGTTTATCTGGGGGTTGATCCATTGGTCTGAGTTTGTTAAATTAATGTTTACTGTAAATTCTATAGTTCCAAATTTGCTTAATGTATGCAACGTTTTTTAGTAGTTTTCTAAATATTTGTCACTGAATTTACTTTAGTCAGACTGACTCAGACTTTAACTCGGCTAAATTCAAGGCGATTTTCGTGTAAGAATAAAAATTCTTTTTTCATTTTATAGTTTTCATATTTCAGTTAACTAACCTCTACAACCACCTAAATGAATATCAAAAGTTTTTCAATAAAATTGTATATAGCTAATATAGTGTTAGGGTAGAGAAGATAATAGATAAAATATAATATTTTATCTGTTATTTTCTCTACCTTTACACTATTATGAGGTCAGTCCATTTGACTGACCTTGTAACTGCCACAAAAAATATGAAACAAATCTAAATTATCCTTTCTAGAATGACTACAGATTGTAACAGATGTTACAGTGATTTATCCTAATCAGCCTCAGACTCTTTAAGTGTTTGCATCTGTTTTCTTTTAATTTTATTGTTTTATTGCTCTTTGAACCATGTCTGAATGTCTCGAATAGTAGTAACTCGCACAGCAGAAGTGAGGAAAGTTTAGGGTAAATAAAAGGTCATATTGTAAGCTAACTATGTATGTTCTGTTTTATGTTCCTCAGTACAAAACATGAATTTATTTTTTCATTTAAATTCTTTTATCTATTATAACAAGATTTTAGTTTTTACATTTTATTTACTTCTGTTAAAAAAGTATATCAATAAATAAAAAAGATACATAACAAATCACAAATTTAGCACTTCAGGATTGAGGTTCTTTTGCTCTTGGAAGACTGTCTTCATTAACCCTAAATTTTTATTATTAAGTTGGTTATCCAAAATATATTTCATATACCTTTAAAATATGAAGTTTTAAATACAGACATTAATTCAAACAGTAAAACAGAATGTCCTAGATCCACTGTAATTTTTTATGGCTTTCTAAATAATCTATAAAAGCAAGCATGAGTAAATAATTAATTTTGAAAGCATAAAGAGTTATGAGGATTTTCTGTTGTGGATGTAACTTATTGGTATTTCAGAAAATAAAGATGGTGGAAGGTTCTTATTTTGAATTCTAGCCTGTTGATATCTTTTGTTGGTTTATCTTAATGGTGGACTTTCTTAAAACACATGTCAAGGAAGTAAGAAAATCTAAAATGGAGAATTCAGAGCAGAGAGACATCTCATGATCTGCACAAGTGAAGACTGAGAATTTATTTGAGTATTTTCTTGTTAAATTAAAAATTTAATGAATCTCCTGTTTTGTCTCTTGGGATGGTCATTTCACATATTTGGTTCTTCTGTGGGACCCTCAACTCTATTGTACTTGGATTAAACAGATCCTTCAGTCTAGTTTTAATATCTTTCCTTCTTCCTTCCAGTCCAATTGCTCACAAGTTCTGGATCATGAAGTCTCAAATCTTTTTCACAATGGAGCAAGCTAAATCATTTATCTCACCTTTCCAATTTTTACTCCCATCTTTTTTTGGTTTTCGAAAATTGCAGTTTGAAGACCTTTCATTGAATGTTTCAATTCATATTCTCCTGGAGGCATGTTATTTTCATGCAGGATACTTACCTTTATTCCCTATTCTTCCATCATTCTGTGATTTCATCTTTTTGTTATACAGTGTAATTTAAGGATGAGACAGAAAGGAAATATGTCTCTGAAGAAAGGCAGTGGTGATATGTGCATGTTAGAAATAAGCACTATCCTCCATTCATATTAAATGAACTGCAGTTGCACCAGCAAAATACTTAACAGTGATTGCTATTATTTTTACCCTATTAAACATTCAGAAGACAACCAAATGTTTCTCAATGCCATGATAATATCTGTTTTCTTTGAAGAACTACTGCACCATGTTAGCAATGTGTTATAGTGCCATATATATTGCAGCATTATTGCTTACTTTATTCTATGTTACAGATATTTTATAGATTTCGAGAAGATCATGAAAAAAGAGATTTTGTGTCTGCTGGTGCAGCAGCTGGTGTGGCAGCTGCATTTGGAGCTCCTGTAGGTAAGTATATCCTGTTTTTAGTAAAAATTCAATAAATACAGTTTTCTTGACTGTTGGTTTTGCCACATAGTTATTAAAAATGTAATCTTTATGTTATTGGACATGTCTTTTTGTACATAACATCATACATTGACTTAAGGTTTACAGTGTGGTAAAATCACTCAACTGAAAAAACAAAAAAAATATATATTGAAAACTTGTATATATATAAAACTTATATATTCAACTTAGTTTCTAAATATCTTTGTAAGAGTTTTGTAGGGTTTAAGAAAACACATCTCATTTTAATTAGGAAAACACTTTCTGTGAGAAGTCAGTTGCATGAACTTCATTTTTGTGTGTGATATTAAAACAATATTCCAGCACGTTTTGTTCTTCTTTGATTATATTATTGGTTAGTAACCTTTTGTTGATATTATTTTAAAAATACCTGACTTAGTTAGACTATGAAAAGAAAAAAAACATTTCTCACTTTTGAGCATTCCACTCTAAAATGTCAACATTGGCAATGATTTTATTTTCAAAACATCAAGTATTAACCTTATAACCTTCTGTTGGGTAATGTTAACTACGTAAGCTACTGCAGGCATATATCCATAATGTACATACTGTTCTGCCCCTCGACGTGGATTCCTGTACTTGGTGAGGGGACCTCCCAGGGAAGATTCTGTATTTTCAGTTACTTCCTCTGGGATCTAAATATCCACCCATGTATTTGCCGTGCATGGCGACCCGTGAAGGGGAGCAGAGGATCCTGATGGTTGAGTGGTGTCTGGGGCACTGCAACAAACTACTTTGGCCTTGAATTCCTGTAGACGGGTGGCCTTGGGGTGGGCCCCTCAGGGTTAATTGGCTGGTCCACTCGGGCTAGGGTCAACTGAGTACCAGTGTTGGGCATTCTCAACGGGTGTTGTGAATATCGTGTCTGATGCTGGTGTTTGGGTATAGTGCTCAAGAAACCCTGGCGTGGCTACAGTGTCCTTGTTTGACATTGTAGTGTGTCCCCTCATATTACTCCATGACGGGTGGGGGCAGCGGGCACTGAATCTTTCTCCTTAATTATGGATCCCCCCCCCAATCCAAATAAAAAAAATTTTAAAACTCTGCTAATCGGTAAACGACCATGCCTAGAAGACTCTGAACAGCAGTCTCCATCACAAAGTACACCTGTACCTCGCTTCCTGATCCTGCATTCACTGTCCGATAAATCTTTAGGGCAAATGTCTCCCTTTTTTATTCAGAAGGGCTTAGAGGGGCTTGCTGGCTCTGCAAAGTCAGTTAAGAAGCTTCGTTCTGGAGATATCTTGGTTGAAACATCCACAGCTAAGCACAGTGAACTCCTCTTGAATTCAAAGGCCATTGGGGATATACCCATTGAGGTTACTCCCCACGCTTCCTTGAATTCCTGACGAGGTGTTATTGTTGAGAGGGACTTGAAGTCTATCCCCGAGTCAGAGATCCTTGCTGGTTTCTCCAGCCAAGGAGTTTCAGCAGTTCGAAGGATCTCCACTCGTCAAGATAGTATTATGGTGCCGACCTCAGTTCTTATTTTGATGTTTTCAGCACCACGTCCACCTGCTGCTGTTGAGGCAGGTTATTTTAACTGTAAGGTACGGCCCTATATTCCCAACCCTCTCCGATGTTTTCAGTGCCATCGGTTCGGTCATTCGAAGACATCTTGTCATGGTTCTGTGACGTGTGCTTGTTGTGGTGGCAAGGACCACGACACCTACAAATGCAAACTGGACCCTCACTTTGTTAATTGTAGTGGTTCTCACCCCTCTTACTTTAGGTTTTGCCCTAACATTTGCCCCTGTTCACAACATTTCTTATCCAGAGGCTCGGAAGCTATTGTTCCCTATTCCTTCTCGGACATGTGCCACTGCACTACACTCCACTGCTACAGTGGGAGTGCAGATGGACCTTTCCGTGCCACCATCTGAGTCTTTTTCATGCTATGTGAACACCCCTCCATGCACAACCGTCCATCACACAACCTTTCATTCCAGTACAAAAATAACTGCCGAAAGATGACTATCAGCAGGTTTCAGAAATGTTTCCTGTAAAGAGAGACACACGGGGTGATAGGAGTCAATCAAGGCCTTAATGTCATCGAGATTAGAATGAAAACCTCAACAGTTCGATTGTATCAAAAGTGGCCATTTTCATGTAGGTTTAGGAGAACAGGGTGGAAAACCCTTCGGTTTACGACCATGCCATTTTTCTTTACTAGATGGAGGTCGATCGACCTACATGGATCCTGCCCTTGATCGAGTGGGCAGATCTCATGTCAAACTGAGGACGTGATCAAATGATTGTCCTGCATTTGAGAGCCAAAGAAGGACCCGAGCGGACACCAGAGGCTGGTGCCTGAGGAGGTTGACTCAGGCAGTCACTGGATGGAATAGTGGGGACAGAGATTGGAGTAGATGTAGACCTATCAACTCTATTATCCATGAAGGGCAGAAGACCCCCTGGTCGACCAGCATGTGCCCTCCTTATCTGTGTCCCTCGATTCACCCTTGGAGGCCGTAGCCATACGTGTTTCCTTGGGTTGTGCCATCACTGTTTGTTCTCTCTACCTGTCTCCTGGAGAGACTTATAATCACTCGGACCTTGATGCTCTCGTTGACCAGTTGTCACCTCCCTTTTTACTTTTGGGAGACTTAAATGGACACAACCCCCTTTGGGGTGGTGCTGATATTGATGGGAGGGGTCGTTCCATAGAGCACATGGTCTCGGATGACAACCTTTCTCTCTTAAATACTGGAACATATACTTATTTTCATGCACCTAGTCAGTCTTTTACAGCCATTGATCTCTCGATTTGCTCCCCTGCACTTTTCACTCGCTTTTCGTGGATGGTCGACAGTGATCCACGGGGCAGTGATCATTTTCCTATCATACTTAGAGATGCCACCCGACCTGAGTGCCACAGTGGAAGCTGGACTAGGCTGACTGGCCATCTTTCACCTCTCTCTCTCTGAACTTGATCCTGCTATCGTCTGTCTACCATCAATAGACGATTGTGTGGTGGCAGTGACTGACTGTATTGTCCAGGCGGCTGTTCATTCTATTCCTAAGACCTCGATACGTTTTCCATGGTATCCTCGTCCATGGTGGAGTCCTGCCTGCCAGGAGGAACGGAAGGCTCAAAAACGGGCCTGGGACACCTTCCGACGGTATCCCTCTCTTTCTAACCACATTGTTTATCAGCGGGCCCGTGCCCATGCTCGGCAGGTTCGACGTTAAAGCCAAAAGGAGTCTTGGATTAAGTTCGCTACTAGCATTTCTTCTACCACTAGTTCCAAAACTGTATGGGACAAGATTTGGAGAGTCACTGAGAGGTATGCTTCCCATTCCCTTTCCATCTTGCTCTCCAATGGCCAGGAAGTTGCTGATGTCCAGAGCATTGCTGATGCTCTCGGCCAGAGCTTTTCTCGTGCATCTAGAACTTCTGTTTCTTCCCCTGCCTTCTTGGCCATAAAGTCTCAGGCAGAGCGATCGCCTCTTTCCTTTTGGGACGATCGTCTCTATGATTATAATCGCCCCTTTACAGTGGTGGAAGTCAAACTTGCTCTTCATCGATCTGGTAGTACAATGGTCGGACCTGATGATGTTCATTTTGAGATGTTTTGCCATCTCTCTCTCCTGCCTCTCTTGCTATTATTCTGGTTATTTTTAACCGGATCTGGCAGGAGCATATTTTTCCAGATGCTTGGCGCCAGGCTATTGTCCTCCCTTTCTCTAAACCTGGGTAGGATCCCAAGCTTCCTTCTAATTATGACCCCATCGCTTTGACTAGTTGACTTTGTAAGGTCCTAGAGAGGATGGTTAATGCTCACCTAGTGTGGGTTCCGTCGACAGCACTCCACCATGCACCATCTGATTCGACTTGAAACGTCGATAAGGGAAGCCTGTCTCAAGAGAGAATACTCGTTTCTGTGTTCTTCGATCTCGAGAAGACTTATGACACTACGTGGAGGTATGGAATTTTGCAGGACTTCCACTCATATGGGTTGCATGGCCATTTACCCATTTTTATTCATAACTTTTTACTGAACAGGCGATTCCAAGTGC